TCATCATCATCATCATCATCATCATCATCATCATCATCATCATCATCCTCACCCTCACCCTCATCCTCATCCTCATCATCATCCTCATCATCAGTATCATCATAATCTACGTATATAACTGGATCGGAAAAGTGCACAATATATCAAGTGTAAACATAACCGGATCAGGAAAAGTGCAAAATATATCAATTGTAAAAATTAGCACGACGACTACACATTTGGTGTTTGACCCGGAGGCAAAAACAAGCTGGTTGGCCGGCTCCTTCACAGCACTAGAAACATGTGTGAAAACCTTGATTTGTGGGCCATCTGCACTACAAAAGCTTGTTCATCTGTGAAAGCTTCTCCTCCAAGAGCCGATCCGGAACCAGAGGCTCTGGCAAGGGTTGGTCAGACACCTTAGCTGTTGCTCCATCAGGCCCGTTGCAAAATATGCATAGTAGCAAGAAGCTACTAGGTGGAGGCCATCGCTATTAGGTTGGAGGCCATTACTACTAGGGAGCAAGAAGCTACTAGTACCAGCTACATGGGTCAACCCTTGGCCTGGAAAGATTCCAGTTGCTCTCGCGCGGGCCTTTCCTCCAAGCTCCAAGGCACGCTTTCTCGAGCTCCAAGCTGCAACAGCAACTGGTCGAAGGGCTTCACATCGGGCCTCACGGCCTTGGTGGGAGAATGAAAGCAAGCTGGCAACATGCATAAACGACGGGAAAGCCCGAAACAGTGCAAAAGGCGACGGATTCTTGGATCCTTCACCTTGCCAAAGGTCTCGCGCACTCATTGGTAGCTTTCAGAGACTCCAAGCTTGAAAATGCCTGTGAAGCGCGCTCGTAGGCACCCCGAAGGCCATGAGACAAGTGGCATAAAGCGGCGGCATATTCATGAGCAAACGAAGACTGAAGAGCCGCGCCCAGCGCAAAGTCCCCTCAGGCCAAAGGCTACGTGGGCACGGTAAAGCAACAGCCCATTGGGAATGTCACCAAGTAGCCCGTTCGTCCAAAATGCATCGGACATTCTTCAATGGATCAAGCGCAGAAGGATCATCATTGAGATGTTCATTCAAGTACCTGGCTGCGTCCCTGTGGCTTGTCCAGTACCAACTACTCTAGCGTAGTCTGTTTGCGTGAAGAGTCTTCAACGCTCTTTCTGTGTTCAACAAGGTTCGTGTCTTCCCAATGACCGCTTCACATCAAGGTGCCATCGCGAGGCCACGAGAAAGTAAAACAAAAGCGTGTCATGGACGCACTCTCCCTAAAGCATGGCCCGGAAGGTAGGGTTGCAATCTTGTGTATACTTTAGCGGCAGGCAAACTTGTATCAAGTACAAACAACATGAACGCACAATAGAACCAAGCCTCTGGCCCTTGAGGCAGATTCGGGTGATTGTTCCACGCCCTTTCGTGACTGGTGCTGTGGTTTACAGAACATTTTCTATATATATATATATATAGGTGGATAGTTTTGAGCCCTACTAGAAAAAGCCTCAGCTGGGCAGCTTGGTACGCAAACAGGTCGAGCAGAAACACATACAGTATTCCAACATGTTGGATGATCTCAGAAGCCACCACTCTCACCTTGTTTTCGCCAAAGTTGCTTGTACGCATGCAAAAAGTGCACCTGATCTTGGCGTTCCACTTTGAAGTCTGCGTATCCTGCAAAAAAGGATGCCGACACCGTGGGGACCGTTTGGGCGACACCGTTGTCTTTCCATCCACTTCTCCGCTCCGTTGGCTTAGTCGATCCAAACGGGAGTGCGTGTAAGGTCTACAAACAAAAGCCTTCTTGAAAGGACCAAGACCAAACATGAATTCTGGCAGCTTTATCGTGAAAGGACCTCTCATCTCCCACAAGGGGCAAGACGCGATGGCCATTTTTCAGCAAGAAAACTGGTGACACGCCAAATGTGTGTATGCTTGACAGGGAGAAGAGGTCGACTGGGAGGTCTTCCCTGTTTTACGACACGCCCATTTGAACCCTCTACAAACCAGCTCTCTGCCATGACAATATTCCCCTTGTACTCCACACATTCGGCCGGCCTTCTACCATCTTGCAAAGGTGTTCTACCACTAGTGGCAGTGGCGGTCGCTCTGCAAACAGGCGGCCAACTTCCTTAGATAAGTGCAACTACGCAGCACAATTGTCTGAGAGAATGAAAATGACTCGACTTGCCCAAATTGAATTGCTGGATTGCTATCTTTGCCACGCTCAAACACACGTTGCATTCCAACCGCTGTTGGTAGGGGGACAACCCTTCTTGAAAGTAGGCCGTACCCAGGCAACATGGCACCACCACCCACCAGGCATCTCAAACAACATCTTCCTGACGTTTTTCCTCTGAAGCTTGGACGGCCCAAATGACGAAACTTTTGAGATGACGAAACGGACACTTTGTCCGAGCAAACTTCGTCCAGGCTTCGTGGGTCACAGATACATTCAGCACCGGCGCCTCGATTGACTCCAGGCAGGGTCCCTTCGAATCTCTCCAGTACAACCTCCTGTTCTGCAATTGCCCCCCCTACTGCTACAAGCAACCCCTAAAAGCTTTTTGAACAGGCCGCAAAAGATAGGCAGTCTTCAACGCATCGCATACTCTTCCAGAGCGCCTGCCTGATACCTGTTCAGTCCACCCTGTCAACGGCAGACGCCTTGGTCCAAAACAAGATCTCCTGGAACTTTGGCAGGAAAACATCGCAGCTGCGTCTCCAATCCCCATTCCTTGGCTACCCAGAAGTGGAAGCATGATGTTTTTACATAAGCGGCTATGTTTGCATGGTTGTTGCTTCAAGCTTATGAAGCAGAACACGCTGTGATGGAATCGCTGTCTGAACTCTAGCATGTGTGAGCTCTCATTGGCGGGAAGCTTCCAACCGACGCCATGTGAGTTCAACAGTTCGGAGGGAAGGAGGGTGAGTACACATGCTGTAAAATGCTTCTCTGGCAACCCAAAGTCTGGAGACAAGAAAGTGCATATAGTTAATCCATTTCCAGTATTCCCACACCCAATATCTTTATAATATATACATACTGTGTACATATGCATATATACTGGGTGATATTGAGCAAGCATGTGCCTCAGACAAGGGGTACAGTAGAAGTCATGAGTTGATATGAGTTGTGAGTTTTGCCAAGCCTCAAAAAGAAGACCGGCAGGTTGGAAAAGCCGCTGGATGTGCCGTGCAGTTTGTTCAACTCGCTGACTTCCATCTTTGACAAGGTGTTGAGAAGGGCATCTAGGGCACCGTCCATTTGCACAAACAACGAGAGATTGGCACAGCATGCTGGCATGTCACATCACAGCGCTTTGGTGCGCGTGCAAATTCTGATCCAAATGTCCCTTGCCAGTGCCATACCTCTCTTTCTATCGGGAGGAAATCCATCCATGAGCAGCTTAAAACCAACTGACCCAGCTTTATACAGGTTCCATGAGGAAGGGGTGCTTGTTTTGTTCGTGTGTAAACAGAGACCCTGCCTGTCCACTTGTTGGCCTTGTCAGGACTTCCTCCAATTTTCTCCTTCGGCCTCAAATTGACCAAAGCATGGAAGCTGGCGCCAGGCGGCTCTTTTTGACTCGTGGAAAACACGTCTCTTCGAGGGACCATCTTCAGTCTCCCTTCATACTTGCGGTGCAATGTGTCCAGTTGAGGAGCCAGCAGCAAACTGACAGCTATGCATGTCATATCATCCTTCATCATCGTGGTATCCTTAAAACAAGCCTAGCGAGCTACCATAAAAAGCATTGTGTCCAAAGCAAGCGTTCCGAATGAGCGGGAAGTATGATGCGCCCAAAAATCAAACGTCCGCCACACACATGTCGCGCACGCGAGCGATTCGCAGCTTGCAGTCCTGAAAACCTGAAGCAATTCCAACAAGCAGGATGCTTTCAGCGTCGACTTCAGCCGTTTTTTCACCTCATTCCGGGGCAATCCAAGGAGGCAACGTTGAGCAAAACGTGGGGGCTTCTTCTTGCCTGCAAGTTTTCCAATAGCAGTCTGAGATATATATGTCTATACAACTGGAAATTAGTGGGCCCTGACCATGCATGATTCTCGGAAGCATAATCCTACCCCTGATGGACAAAAGATCCTGCGCTATCTAAGAGCGTCGAGGTTGCACAGATTCACCTTGTTCCAGCCAATAGAACCGATGCTTCGAGTGGTTTCGCCAGTAGGCCTGTTTCGATCTCTTGCCACTTACCATGCATTTCCTAGTTCAAACAACTCATCCTGCCCCATGCCACCATGGCCCCAGTGCCGGCCACCTGGCCTCTGGCAGCTGCATGGCGGTCTTCAGAAAGCCTTCAAGACCAGCATCCAAAGCTCCGAGCCACTTGGCCTTGGAACACCCGGTGGAGACCGGAGACCGATCCACCGGGCACATTCGTTGTGTCTCAAACTGAAGTGTACCTCCTCCATATGCACACACCTCTGATAGGAGGGAAAATTTATCACCTGACCTGGGAAGGCCACCAAGAACATGGAATTCGGCCAAGCATCCAAAGGATCAGTGGGCCTCCAGCAACTTTCCATCGTACGCCCGTTTGGAAGCAGTGGGCAGTGCATGATGATCCTTAGAAGGACCAGTCGTGCCTGGTCCCCTTAACATGTTTTTACATGGCACAGGAGTGGTCCTTTTATGATTTCCAAATGCATCCTCACCACACCCGAGTGCTCAAACAAAACCAAAAAATTTACTAGGCAAGCCAACTAGGTACCACATATGATCTTGTATGGATACATGCATGTCACATGGCTCAAACAAGCCCAGCCAGGTGGGGCCAGCGCGCAAAATACTTTGTATCGCAATACCGCCATTGGTTCTCCCACACCAAGCTTCTGGATCTGGTTCTCATTTCCTCGAGCAGCATCCAACGCTGCCAAAAGGATCTCCATGTTGGCCTTTGATCCAACTAACCGCAGTCTACCAAACACGAGAGGTACACAACGAAGTCCTGTGTCCTTCCGCATGGTTGACCCAATCAAGGGCGCAAGGTTGGCCGATGCACACTTGCGCCGCGAAAAGAACGTGGATTCTAAAACTGAGGGAGTTTTGAACTCCCTTCATCTCGATAGAGGGGTACCCTGGCATTCTCACATAGCACGTAAGTTCCCCACCTTGCTCTCGAATCATGATCTACCCATGTCTAAAATGGATCCCCATCCAAAGCAAAGTGAACCTCCAACGTCCTCAAACACCGTCCAGGCGACGCCAGCAGCGCGTCTTCGCAAGTGCTCTTCGTGTTTCTGGAGAAGGTTGCCTGGAAGGACCTGAACAGCTGGGAACAACACGGCAACTCGCTGATGCCGAAAGTCTCAAGGTTAAAGCTATGGAGATCTATTGAATGATACGTACTCTAGATTGGCAATCTGCCCTAAAAATCAAGGCTCAAATAAGAATAGATTCCTTCAGGGGGAGCTCCGAGCACACAAAGTAATTGAAGAGAGGCTTTCTTCTATGTGCAGACAAACAACTTCAGCTTGCGGAAGAACCTTCTTGAGAGCTTTGCATCGGACATCATCTGAATCCAAGACCTGCTTGCAAGATGTGCTCGCGCTGCTGCTTCACTAGCTTCAAACAGTCACGTCGAAGGCTGTCCAGAGAGCATCTTGCTAAACAAGTTTATCCATGTTCGTCTTCGGAAACATGGCAGACTGCCAGGCATGACAACAAAGCTTGCACTCACTCTGCCGTGATATATCAAATGTCGGCATGATCGCAGCAAGACGCCCGGCAATTGGCCTGCAGGCCGGAACTTCGGCAAGCATTGGCCAGCCTGCTGCTCTGCACGGTGCCTTGCAAATGTGGCAGAGTAATACCCCAAATCTGGATATTCTATTCAGTTAAATTGAATATATCAAGGTTCTATGGTCGGACCAGAAACCTTGCCCCATGCTTGCAGGATAAGCTGACCTAAATTAGGGATGACTGAGGCCTTTGCAAAATTGACGCAAGGTCAAATACGCGCTCTCTCCCTTGACAATCGGCAGGTCCACAAACACCTTCAGCACCGCTTCCTCCATCGAATCATCCAAGAAGCGCTTGCACAGCGCATCCTTGTGTCGAGCTTCCGCGTTCTCCACCTTAAGGACGCTCTTGGCCCGGAGGACTTGCAAGTGCTTTGCAACGTCCAAGGGCTTGTTCCCAGCAAAGGGCGCCGGCACCGGATCGACTGCGATGTAGCAACCAATGGCCACCAAAGCCTCAGCGGAAGGGACGTTGTCTTTGAGGGCGCAATGCTCCTCGAGCAGAACAGATGTTCTTCGACCAAGGTGAAGGACTTGAACATTGAATTTCCCTTTCAAAAGTCCCAGCTGATGCTCTTGCTTTTCATAAGCCGTTTCTTTGAACAGCCGCCAAAAGTATGGCATATTCACATCAGTGGGACATTTGGCCAAATCTTCAATCTTCCGTGGGTCAAGTACTCCCAAGGACTGATCAAAATGCTTCTTGGCAAGCTCACTGGGTTTGACCACATTGTGGGCAGGTTCCGGTGAATGGATCAGTTTGCGCCAAAAGTTTTCCTTGTTCTTCTCAACTTCATCGAAGTACCAGGTCCAGCCCTCGAAGTTGTCGTACTTTGAGTCCTCCCTTTGCAGAAGATACACCGACCCTCGAAACGAGCTTGCCAAGATCTGTTTGGCGTCCGGAAAGCCTTGAAAGAGCCATCTGCAAGCAATATGTGCATGCCTCGGAGGAAGCCGAGCAAAGCCTTGCAGGACATGAGCAACAGGTGGGTGTCTGATGTTCAAACTGGCTGCTTGGGCAAGGAGCGCTCTCAACTTCTGTGGTAGTACCACAACTTGGAGCTCTGATGCCAGCCAGCCCTGAAACGCAGGATCAACTATAAACATCTCTGGGCAGGGTGCTGAGTGGCATTTGTCGATCTTGTAGCCCTGAACATTGAAGCGGTTGATCAAAGCCTTGGAGAAACACCTGTCGAGTCACTTTCACGACACAAGTTCAGCACGCGAGGCCCGGTTGAGAGGGATGATGCAAACTGCATGTGTCATGTGTTTGCGTCTATGCGCGCGCGTCTCTTTCTCTCTCTGTCTCTTTCGCAATCACAAGAGACAAAATTGCTGATATCATAGGCGCTCACAGGCCGTCCTCCAAACTAGATATACAAGACAAGCAAAGACGGATAGCTTGACGTCATACACCCAACTCTGCCTGGCAACTCCTGAATGATGGTGCGGTGGCTGCTCTACAGGAAGGAGATCTCCCAGAAAGCGATGCCTCAAAGAAGTAACCAAACATGCATTTGAATAGCCCCTGTTTTGGTGATCCAGTGACTACAGGCAACTGCACAAAACATGCTGCATAATATCATCTATGCAAGTGTCAAAAACCGCACCTACATGTCAAACTTGAAATTCCAATACAAAAAATGACGCAAAGCTGTTTGATTAAGTCATTGAGAATCTCCGTTGCCCAAACATGGAGTACAAGGTCCACGGCAAGATCGGCCAACTGCTCAATCTCTTCGTGGCTCGCGTTCCCAGTCGCCATGTGTTGTAGCTGCAGTGGCTCCAGCCCAAAGACATGAGCACCCGGAAAGACTTCTGGATTCTGAGCCCTCAAGCGAGCAGTTGTGCCTGTAGGGCGCCCAGCGAAATGGCTGTTAAAGGGCTAATCTTTGGAGTATCCATCTTCAAAACTGGAAAAGGAAACAAACCGTGTCAATCCAACTGTCCATTTATACACATGGTGCCTACACTGGGTGCAATCGGGTCATGCTTGCCCCGCTGGCAAGCAACTGCCACTGAGTTTCGCCAGCCAACCAGCCACTCAGTCTTGCTCGTCCCAAGCTGCAAGAAACGCTTCTCGATTTGGCTGGTGATTCCAGGCTGACTGAGAGCGTCGCTCACATGTGACTCCTGAGCCACCACTTCACTGGATAGGATATAAAGATCATCAAAGCGAGGATTGATGTTTGAAGATTCTTTGTCAGAAATCTCGTGGATCAGAATCTTCTTCAACCTTTTCTCAGTGAAAAGAAGCCAGTTCTCATAGGAAGTGACACTCTTCACTTCTGCGTGAAGGAAATGTTTGAACTTCTCGAGCTCCACCATAGACTTACCGAAAGCATCTCTCAAAGGCAAGCGCACCACAGTCGCTTTTGTTTCACCCGAGAAGAGATTCTCAAGTCCTGCCTCAAAGGGTTTGAATTGGTCAGGCCATTTTTTGCTCAAATCCTTCGAAGACAAAGCCAGCCAAAATGCATCCGAATGTTCCAGCAAGCCTTTCAGGTAGATCTGGAATGGGTCGAGGAAAACTGCAGTTTCTCTGCTCACAACAGAGATCACATCCTCGCAAAATACGTGATCAAGAGTGTCATCCAGACAAGCGCCAAAGCTTCCAAAAAAAAACAAGACTTATCAAGGTAAACCCCTGACATTTCAATACGTTTCATCTGTCTAACGTTGCCTATCATTTTTCCGCACGTCAGACGTGCTCTCATGTGCTCACACATGTGGTTGGGCCCAGGCGCCGAAAAGGCGAAGAGTTGTGCCCACTTTCTCTCCAGATTCCTCAAGCCTTTCCACTCTTTCTTTCCCAGAGCTGCATCAAAAACAACGTGTATTGCCGGACCTTGCAGCCTCTCCATGTTTTTTGTCAGGAGGGACTTATCCTCGTGCAGCCTCCAATCCAACGTGAAGCGCACCTTTGAAGCCCCTGCGGAGTTTGCCATTTCGAGGAATAGTTCCAAGACGGCAGCAAGGGACTTCTCCTGCCTCTCCTGGCCATCTGCCCAGTTTTTGTTACTGCAGGATAGCAAGGTTAAAGGATAATGGGGTGCCAGGTGAACCAATCCTACTATCGCAGCTCCTTCTCTCTAATCAAAGGTGCTCGAGACTCGAGGCTTCAAGTTGCGCAAGTAAAAAGTTTAAGAAGCAGGCATGATATCCATTCATTCCCCTAAAACACGAAGTCTCCTGGCTCTGCTTGTGCTCGCTCTGGAAAGTTCGCAGTCGTTGCATGTCCAGGTCAGGGTCTGTTGCCTCAAGGCCTGATGGATCCTTTCTCAACATCCTCAGCATCAACAGGCTGTTCGGTTCGACCCCAAAGTCGCGGGCAATGCCTTGCAGCGCAGCACAGTGAGCACAAAGCACCCATAACTACAATGACAATAAGAGATAATCTGCAAAATTGCACATCATGTGTATGTCTATGTTGAACCCTCAAGCAACCCGTGAAAATGCACTGCTCACACGCCCAGCCTTCTGGGACATTTCGGTGAAGAAGATGAAACCCGTCGGGATGTAGCGAGGTCCAGGGCATATCATGCACGAACAGCTCACCGGCTTGTCGTAGAACTCCGTCCCGTGCAGGAATCCAAAGATCTTGTTTGGATCGAATCTCTCCAATCCTCTCGTGCAACAACTTCAGAATGTTGCAAGCCACATCCAAGTTGCGTTTTTGTTTCTCCTCCTGGTTCTCTCCGGTAAAGAACTGAGTCACAGATGTCCACACACCACCCAGGATCGATAACTCTGCCTCAGCTGAAGTTCCTTGCAAGAGCTTCAGTTTCTGTAATAATTGAAGCAGCTTGGCGACGCAAAGCCTCTCCCTCATCTCGTAGAAGATGGGATATTCCAACCAGTCATGCATCAATGTATGCATGTAAGGCGAAAGTGAAGTTGCTTGAGGGTCCTTCGACACATCATCCAGTGGAGCAAAGCCATGTTCTGTCCAAATCCACGACTCAAAGTCTGGAGCCTGATGCAAGCGAAAGTAAACTGCTTGACACTCAAGCGCCTGTACACGTCGATGTTTCGCTACCAACGTCAAAGCCTTGAGCTGTTCCAGAAGTATGGGATCATCCACATCATGTTCCATCTTTACTCCAAGTAGCTTCAAGGTCTCAGCTGGTCCACAGGCGATGGGCCTCACAAGCCCCACCAAAGCCTTTGCCGAAACATGGAAGACGTCTTTTGGTGGCAAAAGAACCTCTCTGCCCTCCTTGGATGTGGAAGACAAAAGCCATGGAATCTCCTGAAGCTCTGATGGCTCTGTGCATAGATATTCCAGCTGAGTCAACCTCTGGAGCAAGTTCTGGGACAACGACGAATCTTTCGAGTGGGCTGCAGACTTTGCGATTTCTATCGCATCCATGAGGTCCAGTTGCTGCCGGCATCCAAGGGCCAGAAGCTTGTGAGAATGCTGTTCAAAGACCCGAGCATCTTCACGCAGCCGCCTGGTCAAGCATTTGAAGTCCTTTTCAGCATCCCACAGCAGGCATTGATCAATTGGCAGAAGCTCCTCGTGCTGGGCAACAGGAAAGATTGGCATGTTGGCCAGAACGCTTTCCAAGTTGGCACACAAGACCTCTGCTATGAACTCAACCCTTTTGTTCTGAGCCAGGGCCTGCCTAGCCACTTCTTCTGGCTCCATCTCCACCACCTCCAGTTTCCGAAGAAACTGGACGATGTGGCCGTCATTCTCGGACAACAGGTCAAATGACAGAGTGGACACCGCCTTGCGAAACCGATCTGACACACTCAAGGGAAACAGCTGAAGGCTTGGAGTTACCAACTGCTTCTGCCAGTTGCGGAAGAGCGGCAAGGCCTTGGCGATCTCCGATGCTTCTGGCACCTGCGATCGGATCAAAGCCTCGAGCAGGTCACGCCAGCCTTGGTCCTCGCAGCTCATCCGAAAGTCTGCCGGACCATGATGCTTCCGTGCCCAGCAGAGGGCATGGGCCAAAGCATTGGGATCATGAACAGGGGGACAATCGCAATCAAGGACGATCAAAACGTGGCAAGCTCTTAGGCACTTGACGATTGGCGCCCTCAGATCCCTGCAGCTCAAAGCTCGGTGGCGCTGATGGAGTGGATGCAGTCGGATGGATCCATCTGCTTCTTGGTGCCAAAGCACCTGCAACTGGTCCAGGAGATGTGGAGCTGGGTCCAGCTTCATCTCCGGCCTATGCAAACATCTCCTTCGGTACCATCGCCAAAATGCACCCGCCCAAGCTTCACCTGAAGCATGGACACCCAGCTCTGCCACAGCCTCGAAATCAACTTCTCGAACCTGTGGATGTTGGAGAAGTACCTGACTTGCCCTCATTACATTCTTGAGGGTCCTATGACCTGGGAGGTGTCGAGCCAAGTCCCAGTCATCCTCATTCCTGCAACACGCAAACCAAGTCGTAGCAGCTGAGAAGCAATGCACACTGCCATCTGCCGTCAATGCCAGGGGGGCATCCATCCAAGTCCTCCCCGTACAGGCCCTGCTGGGACTTGCGAGCTCCATCACCGATGGCGTACAGGAGGATCTCAGGATCACAAAACTGGTGAAGCGTGGGGTCCATTTTTCTGAGCCACGCCCGGAGGGATTGCGGGGTCAACTCTAAAAGCGCAGACCCATCCGCCTGGAGCAATCCCTGCAACGCCACTTCGTTCACCACAACAACCGGAGCCTCTAGCTTCTGCAAAGCCTCGGGAACTTCTTTGTGGAGACTAAGCAAAATGGGCAGTTTGGTGGCAGGTTTACCAGCCACTGTATAGAGCACCTGTTCAGACTCCAAAGACCTACATCTTTGGGCAACTCCTCGAAAGAAAAGCTCATGCAGGAGCTTGGCAGCCAAACCAGGTTGATCTGCAGTCGGGAAAAAGTGCAACAAAGTTGACCTTTGAACCCCTGACTTCTTTGCCAACAATGAAATCAAGCACTCGCAGGCCATCTGAAGCAGGCTTCGGTTCTCGCTCGCCCAGTGACCTTGGTCTTTGGCCGCATCCAAAACCAACGTTCTTCGGTCTGTGCTTGTCCAAAACAGCGCTGACAAATGCGCAGGCATTCCTGAAAGGACATCAGACAAAGGAAGCCGGCTGAAAATGCGGCCAACCTGTGGGCAGCCATCCATTCTTTGTGGCAAAGCTACGGAAACATCTCCATTGTGACAAACATCATAGCAGTAGCTACGCTCCTTCTCATCTGAGTGGTTCTTGCTCAAAATGGAGACATGTTCTGGTTTGTCCGCCCTTCTGTGGTGCAGCAGCACTTTGTTGCGCTGAACATCGATGACTTCCAACTCCGAAATCTGTCGAAGGAAAAGCAGCCACAGGTGTCCCTCACCTTCAATCAGCTTCAACAACTCCTTGATGTCTGCATCTCCAAAGTGCCGACCACTGATGTCACTCGGCCTCTCTCGCAAGGGCGCTCGGATCAATGTTCCGCGGTAGCTTCCATTGGCAAGCTGGCAACCTTCAAGCTCGTAGGAGCTGAACTGGTCGGGCCAGCACCTCTTCACATCCTGCCAGGCACATACCCCAAAAAATTGGACAACTGCATCCTGTAGGTTTCAAAGAAGATGGCACAACCCTCAACAAATGGTGAACATACAGACCCACATCTGCAAAGGCATTCAGGCGTTTGCGCCATCTTAATTGAAACCGGCTTTTGTGGGCACTGAGTTCTACAAAATTTACTTGATCTCTTCACTGCGGCGACAAGCTCCTGAACCTTCACTTGCAACGAGCTAACAAAGCCCGTTTCATTGCACATGTATCTTTGACGTTCGAATTCAAGAAGACAATCCACCTAGTGCAAAAATGTTGCCCATGCTTCCAACTATCTCCAACTACTGAACTTGTCTGACCAGCAATTGCAAAGGTGAATGTCCTTCTTTGCAAAATTGAGCTTCGCACCAGGCTTCGCAAGCGTTGCGCCCAGCTTCTTCAGGTGCTCAACGTGAGGATCGAGAAACAGAATATACCTGATCTGAAACACCGTAACAGTTTGGGGCCCAATTAAGATTGAGCAGTGCGCTGGATAATGAAATTTGTTTATATACGTGGCGCCTTGCCGCAAAAATGTTGAGCGCAATGAACCTACGGTATCGGTACCGTACCAATGGCTGAAGCAACACATGTTCTACTTGGCAACCTCACCTACATGACTCCCTCACTACTCCGAGTACTCCCAACAAACACCAAGGGGCTCGCCACTGAGAACAGATGGAAGATCGGTGATATTGAAGATGGCATTAAAGCC